GCAAAAACTTGCCAATTCACTCCAATGTTTGTACATGTATGATGTAGGTTGTAGAAAACTTTCTAACTTGGATTGGAAGCCCATGCTGAGTGATGGGATGACTTGCATTCACATTGTCACTGATTGTAGGGTGAGCTCTGGCATGTGCAGTGATTTAGCATCATGCTGACCTTTTCCTCACCAATTTCTGCAACATTTGGTATCACTTTCTGATGGCTGTTGTAACATTTTAACTTAGTGTTGTCCGTATAACTCTTACCATCATTTGATGTATTTATTGGTTTTTTAAATTTTATACCTGTTTTTGTGTGTCTTTGCTGCAGTGGGACTTGATGCTAACTTGTTCTGTTAGTAATGTGATACATGTAGGCCTACATGTACACGTACATACAGTAGTTTGGTATAGACTGTACAGTATATGACACATGTATGTACATGAATATAACATGTACATGTACATCTTCCTAATATTGCATTCAAGCATGGAGGAAGGAGGGGAAAAGTAGAGCCACATAAGCAATCTCTATTTCCTACGACTACACGGATCATACTGTGCAGGGAAGCAGACTTGCAATATAATGCTGACAAATACCGGAAAATCTATACTGGAAGATAATTAATACTCTTATGATAATTACAAGCAATACAATGCGTGGTGTTAATACGCTTATGATGTTTGGTGGATTTTCAGTGGGAAAAAGTGAATGTACGGTGCATTGGGTTCTTCGCTTTCAATTTTCATGTTAGCAATCTGCAGTGTGGAAAGCTTCTGACAGGCATACATGTACATGTTCATATTGTGTCAAATATCATTACACAAGTACGTGTACATGTACACTAATAATGTACAGTGTATACTACATTAATGTACAATGTACACATTACATTGTACTTTACATGTGTACATTTGCCTTGCACTCTGCTGTTCTCTGGAGTCAGGTTTCTCGTTATTACCGTCTGTCATGTATTAAGTGGGGATGTGTCTGTACGTCAGATTTTGAAAGCTCAGAAGTGTCGTAATATTTGGTACATTTTCAGACAATACAATCTGCTGGTTAGAGATTAGGTTTGAAAAACTGCATGGAGTTGATAGATCGAGGTTTGATATTGTAGCTTTTAATTTTATCGCATGTTTATCCCTGTGGTAGTTTTTGCTGAGAAAACCATACATGATGTACATGTACACATAGGCTCTCGATACACGTAACATCTGGGAGTATTAGTGCATGTTTTTTAGCGTGACAACGACGTGTGCGTAGCGAAACAAGTTGCAAGCTCCTTTTCTAAATCAATGATATGTGTCCTCAGTTGCTCTGTGCAAATCACACCCACATCTTATCTGCTGGAAACTTTGCACAGTACACATGGTGTATATCACCTGGTGATTTATATTCCCACATACAGTGTATGCTCCACCATAATCACCTGAGCGTATGAACCAGAACTAGAACACAATCTAGAATCCTGTGATACAGTAAAACGAAATCCTCTGTAGCGAGCCCAGGTCACTGCACACAATAAGCACAAAAACACAAACGTACATGTCTTTTGTAAGCTCAAACTGTATTCCTACCCCCCCCCAAAAAGCATTGTGTTTGGCTGTTATTTGTCCTTGTGCAATGTACATGTACATGTGTGGTTGCCAACAAAATGGGACTTTCCAATGGAACACCATCACTCTGAAGGAGCCCCAGAGATATTCCACCACGCTCGTGTACGTAGTTTACACATACATGTACATAATATATGCAAAAAAAGCATGGCAGGGTACATGTAAGGTGGGGGGGGTGCCCCAAGCACAGTTACATTGCAATCAAGAAGTTTAAAAGAGAACAAAAGAGCTTGAGTTTCAAATGAAAGTTAGCAGAAGTTCCAGTGGATACTGGTAGGAAAAGAGCAGTGATTTGGTCTTTTGTACTTTTAACTCTGTACTGTCGATTGCCAGCGATCCCCCCCTCATCGGTTATTTCCATTACATTTGTACACGTGGAACTGATTTGAGAGGCAGTATGTATGTGTACCTGCATGTTTGTAGGTTGGTTTACGAGTTAAAGCGGAGTCTTCAGAGATCAAGGCCTTGAAGTGGTAAGCTTTACATGTACATGTACATTTGCATGTATGCTGCACATTTATAATTCTAATTTACATGCAGTGTTGGTTAAAAACAACCTGAACACTGATTAAATAGCATTTGGGCATTACAAAAACATTTAGTCTCTCCCTAACCATGGAAAAATGGAGAATGAACCTTTTCTTTTAACAAAACACTTGCACATTTGGGCCACATGAACTCACCTTCCCAACTGTGATTAAACAGACTTGCTCAGACCATGTAGCTCTATGCTCAGACTTACCCCATGGAACAACGTTGTTGCTAAACAAAAGCTTGAAATTTCAACACCCCCCACCAAAAAAAGGGTCAGCTCAGTCATTTACATGTACATGTAAGAGCACTACAAAAATATTGAGTACCTGTCGATGTATTGCCTAATCACAGCTACATGTACCCATGTCTACAACAATGGAAATCTGTACACGTGTACAATGCGAGTCGTGAGGTAATCTTGGGGTTGGGTTCAATCTGTCTTCCTGGACTCTAGAGTGCAAGTCCATTGTCTGGCCTCTCCAGTTACCAAAATATTGTTGGGTTTCTGATTTCTTTTAATATTGACCAAGGATTCAACAGGATATGAAGAGTGTACCGTACTGTAAAGTGCATGTTTGGAACTCTGTGAGTGACAGTACTGGGAGCAGTGCTGCAGAGAACTCATCCCCTACGGTAGGGAAGAACAGTACAGGTAGTTGAGCAGAAGAAAAAAATACAAAATTTGGCAAATGGTGCACGACAGAATAGCAGCTAGGGTAGCAGGAGCGTGGTCCTTTTATTTTCAACTTCAAACACCACATTTCCTTTTTCTGCTGGTATCTACATTTTACATGTACCCAGTCCAGTAGTGTGTACAGTACATGTACCCTACTACGGGTAGAAAATGTAAGAATTCTTTCTGCATAAAAGGATGCTCTCCTTTACGAATTTAATATACATGTACATATAGTTCAAGTGTCGTCCCTGACAAAATGGTATCTCGAGGTCAGCAGGGGTCGGATTGTGAAATTTCCAGGGTTTGTGGTTGAACGAAATGTCAGAAAGTTGGTTCACCTATGGTCAGCTGATGCTGGCAACAGCCATGGAACTTTTAATTAGTCTGTTATCTGACGGTACATTGTGTATTTTAATCTGCAGAAGAAAGTCTGAAGTAGCAGACCATTCCAAGTTCCAAGTACATGTATCTGCCAACATGACCATACTTCCTTCAGCACAAAAATGTGGGATGCACAGATCTCAGAAGTTACAGTAGATAATCTTCAATGTTTGCTGTACCCCCACCTTCTAATTTTTACCTACATACATGTACACATGTACAGTACATGTACATGCACGTATCCTTCCCTTCAAGTGGGATAAGGTCTTCACCATAAGTTATACTGTCGTAGTTGTACAAAACCATTTTAAATTTATGTACTACCAAAACCTGAGTGTGTACATCTTTTCTAAGAAACCATAAAGCATCCATGCCATACAATAGGCAGTTCAAGCCATCCAGAGATCCACGACTTTTTGAGGGAGGCCTTTGTCGGTGAATACCAATCAGTGGTGGTTATGGTAATACTAATGATGACACCTTTTCTCCTTTAATATTCCAAAGCAGTCATGTCCTTGGAAAATCAATGCATGTGGATGTTGCTGTACCACACCTCAGAATGTGTCTTCCTTCCTTTGTTGGAATGTGTGTTCTAAATTTTAGCACAAGAACCTGCTACATTGTTCAATCCATACAGAGGCTTGCAGTGAGGTCATGTAAAATGCTGCATACATGTACAAGTGTGATCATTACCCATTTTTGTCACAGAAATTTGTCGCAATTTATGACAAAACTGTGTGGGTAGCACACTGGCAGCCAGGGTTTGTGAGCACATGTTGGGTCTAACCAACGTCTTGCCTCAGAAAAGTGATTTATAGTTCATAAGTCCTCAATTGTGGGCCACTTTCCTCCCTTGCATTACTGATGTGTAGGTACATATACACTTTACACTGAACAAGTCTGGCAGAGAGGATTTGTGGTGATGATTCATACATACATGTAGCGCCTAAGTGTCTAATGCACATGGTGACCTCATGGCATGTGTGCTGGCCTGTGGGTTATTTGTGGCTTGTGCTGTTTTCCCATCACTGGCTGGAAGCGCTGCAGCACCTTTTATGCACAATTTGTGAACTGCTTTTCCCACAATTTTTCAGTTGTTAAACCCTAACCCTTCACAATCCTCCAAAATCCTTCAGGCAATTTTGGAGGATTTTGGAGGATTGAGGAAGAATGGGGAAAGTGTATGGCTGATTGCGAAGGATGCCATTGTGAAGGTAGTGGGTTAGACCTTGTGTTGTTTATGCTTAGTGATGCATAAATTTAGCCCAACT